AAAAAAAAAAAAAAGAAAAAGCACACATGGCTGGGCACAGTGACTCGCACCCATAATCCTAGCACTCTGAGAGGCCTAGATGGGTGGATAGGTTGAGCTCAGGAGTTCAAGATCAGCCTGAGCAAGAATGAGAGACCCTGTCTCTACTAAAAATAGAAAAACTAGCCAGCCATCAAGGAGGGCGCCTGTAGTCCCAGCTACTTGGGAGGCTGAGGCAGGAGGATCGCTTGAGCCCAAGAGTTTGAGGTTGCTGTCAGGCTTGATGACACCCCAGCACTCCACCCAGAGTGATACTCTGTCTCAAAAGAAAAAAAAATAAGTATAGGTGGTAGAAATGTGTATATAATTATGTCTATAAAAAGTTATATCAAATGACAATTTTAGAAATGGAGGTCAGGTGTTAGGGATGGGGAAGGGAGTTGTGGGAGGGAAGTGGGTGTGGTTATAGAAAAGCAACCTGAGGGATCCTTGCAGAGACAGAACTATTCCATACCTTAACTGTGGGGCAGATATACGGACCTACACATGTGATAAAGCTGTGTAGGACTAAATCCACACACAAATAAGTAAAACTGAGGAATCTGTGGTAAGATCTGTGGATCATATCAATGTCAATATCCTGATTGTGATTATGTAAGATACTATAGTTTGGCAAGATGTTACCATTGACGTAAACTGTATAAAGGTAAAAAGAATCTTTGTATTGTTTCTTACAAATACATGTGGACTAAATATCTCAATTAAGTTTTCAATTAACTCAGGTTTCTGCAGGGGTATAGGCAGATAGGAGCATCTTTTTTTTTTCTTTTTCTTAAGAAACAAGGTCTCCCTATGTTGCCCAGCTAGTCTCAAATTCCTGGCCTCAAGCAATCCTCCCTCCTCTGCTGGGATTACAAGCAAGAGGTCAGCCCTGCTCTCATTTATTTCTATAAACAAATCAAAAAGGGATCTCTATCCCCCCATGCAGGACTGAGCAGAAATATCAGAGTATAGGGTAGTTGTTCAGATACTGCTGAGCCTTTTCATCCTCATCAACTTGGTTTTCAGTCTCAGCAAGCCTAAGACCAAATCATTCCTTAGATTATAATGTCTTTTCCATAGCCAGGAAGGACAGTTAGCTCATGTATGAAATGAGATTCTCTATTGCTCCTTTTTTTTTTTAAGAGACAGAGTCTCACTTTGTCGCCCTCGGTAGAGTGCTGTGGTGTCACAGCTCACAGCAACCTCCAGCTCTTGGGCTTACGCGATCCTCTTGCCTCAGCCTCCTGAGTAGCTGGAACTACATATTGCTCCTATTTTAAAGAGCAGGCAACTGTTGCTAAGAAAAACGTCTGTGTCGATTATGGTTGTCAAGAAAGTATTGACTAAGCCTGAGTCTTAAGAAATAAAAAGTAGGCTCGGCGCCTATAGCTCAACCGGCTA